TATTTTTTATATGAATTGTGGTTAATTTTGGAGTACTCTTTGGTCCTTAGGGAGCACTCTTTACACGCATGCATGGAGTAGTCGCGATTTTTGCAGGGATATTTTGCAAAAAAGCATAGCAAAATAAATGCTACCCTGTGCTAGTTGTTTTGTTGTTGAAATTGCTACATTTTCCTCGCATTCCTCTCATCTCGCTCACTTCATTTTTTTTGCTGTATCTTGTTATTGTATTTGATACAGAATTTCGCTGCTTGCTACTTATGTATGCTACCACTTTGCAATGGGGTGCTCTCGTACTCTTCCAAATTTGGAATTTTGCATTTCGTGCAATCAGTGCATCGTGCAAGACTTCGAGAATACCCCTATACTGTTTGATATTGGATACGTTTTGCAGCAGAAACTATTAGCCTTCATATAACACTTTATTCGATTATTAGTTTTTGTTGAATTCATTACGGAAAAAACGCGCTCAACAACGCATGTGAGTGTGGCAAGGATAATAAAATGAATTTACTTATATTTCCAAACATTTTATTGCCTGTTGCGGTTTTCACTCCGTAAGCAATTATCCAAAATTCCTCAGAGTTGGATGGAATGGTTCTGAGAAAAGTTATTCCATGGGAAAATTAAAAGATTTAAATAAATAATTGGCAGGTCCCTGAAAGTCGCCCTCTTGTGATTCACACACTGGTGATAAAATCAAAGCTTTTTTAAAAGTATTTAATTGACTAGGTAGTCGTTTCAAAAGTTCTTCGATTAGGGTGATTAAACATTTTTGACAGTCTTATAATATGCTTCTTAAGTCAAGTTTACCATGCAGTTCATTAGCCTCTTCTGTAAAATTATCGTGGGAGACTAAGTTTTGTATATATTTATAATTGGAAGAAATTTATTTGAAGGGAAAAATCGCCAAAAATCGCCAATGGCGATTTCCTAAATTTTTACGCGCAAATATCAAAAAAATCGCCAAATTGGCGCGAAATCGCCAAATCTGGACACTCTGTTTTCCAGCAATGTTTTCAAGATATTAAAAAGCATGCTGATAAAATTCACACAAAAGCGCTATGTCCAATTTGTTGAGCAGTTATTAAAGACGACTCTTTTCCTATATTTTGTTAGACTTTTCATAAGTAAAAATATTTTGTGATTATTACTTCCTTCATATGAATTATATCACATTTTTTGTTTAATTGTATTTTTGGAATAAGCAGAGTTCTTTTTCCTCCTGTCAGTAACAGTTTTTGATACAAATAGTATAAATAAGCATTGGGAAATAAGGCTTTTTTTTATTTCCAACGTTTGTTGGTATACATATTTTAAAATTTTTTAAATCACTGAAACGGTTAAGAAAGCTTTAGTTTAAAAGTGTGGTGCTAAATGCCTTTCACCATAAACGGCGTAGTTTTCTTGGTTATCAAGCCTCTGGCAGTACAACAATAATTGTTGTCTTTCACGAAGTTCTTTAAATAAATCTTCAACTAAATACTTTCAATTTAATTTCTTAATTTTTCGGGGGTTTCTACTAGTTTTAATAAATTGTCAGTTTAATTTCTTATAAAATTTACCTTTAGGTTTTTGCATCTTAAGCATACGTCGAGATTTTGTTTTAGAGAATCAATGTGAAATAATTGCAGGAGCAATTGACTGATTTGCTGTGCAACCGAGACGTCTGCTTTTTAAATAATTTTTGTAAAACAAGTCGGCAAGTAGGTACATATCGTTCCCCGCATGCCAGAAACATGGATATGTAAAAATTAAAATTTTGTGAAATCAAGTTTGAATATTTTTACGAGACTTAACTTTGCATTCATGTAATTGACATTGTGAAATATGTGGTTTCCATGTACGCATGGTATTCTGGGTTTTGGTATAACCAATAACTCAAAATAAATTTGCACATTCATGCTTCTGGCATTAGAGCGACGATATGTATTTACTTCACATTTATTAATTTTTTATAGGCCTGTCCTACATATCTTTGTAGTAAAGCAATAGTAGTCATATTTCGACACCTGAGTGGAAGATCAACCTATCTCCGCAGCCAGTTCGAAAACGCCCTATATAAGAAAACTTTTCAAGAAGGCCCTACTTCAGAATTTTATTGAAAAGTACCCTAGGGAACGTTCCCATACTACGGGACCCACTTTTTGCAATTTTAAACCCCCCTCGGTGACCACGCGTAGTATATTCCGAGACCCACCCTCCCCCGTTTTTACCTAGTAATTCATAAATATGGCTTTGAATCATTTCTGACTAACAAAAAGTTAAAAAAACAAGTAATTTTTAGCAAAAAAAAACCGACTTCAACTCCCATATAAAAAAAAAATATATATATATATATCTCATGATCCACTTATCGGATCTCAACCAGATTAGTATGGGACCACCTCTGAGACACTACCTTTCCGATGCAAAAAGAAATCGAAATCGGTTGACGTGGTCCAAAGTTATGCGGTAACATACATAAAAAAAAAAAAAAAAAAAAAATTCCGACGAACTGATAACCTCCTCCTTGTTTGGAAGTCGGTTAAAAATGTATTTGGCTCATATCTATTTGTCTTTATTAATACGGCGGTTGCTGCGTGACCGCAAGAGTGCATGCATACCTATAATTACAAGTGGAAAAAAATATTATCAAGATAAAACCTACGTCAAAATATATCATAACCAAAACTTAATTTATAAAACATAAGTCCTGTGAGTTTAAAAAGCGCCAAACACTGCGCGCCATATTTGAATGTAACTCGAGAAAACGTTAGATTTCCTTAGAGGATATTGACTACGTGATAAAAACCTAAGCCCCCCACCCCTTGTTGTGACCAAGCGTGTTATTTTGAAGATCCCCCACCCCCACCGTTTTCGAACTGGCTGCCGAGATACGTCGATCTTCCACTCAGGTGTCGATTTCCTTTTAACATTCCTATATATGCATGAAAACAAGTCAAAAAATGTAAATTAAAAATTTATATTTGGCCGTTAGTTAAGATTGTCTTTTCAAAGTTAGTTACACATGTGTATTAGTAAGGATTAATCAATCCACTACATCAAAATTTTCGAAGAATTTTTTTTATATGTCATCATTAATACAACAAATTTTTGCCTTATTCCTGGTACATATTCCTGGTTTCAATTTCTGTTGCGTAGCTGGTTCGCTTCTATATAAGTTTAAAAACATCTCCTTTTTTATAAGCTTTTATTATTATTATTTTATTTTACCTCCCTTTTATTATTATTATTATTATTATTACCAGGGTGCGGAGGACGATCAAAATACGATCTTTTTCGCAATCAATCGCGGCCAAAAATTGAGGGCTTGCAGTTTTTCGCGATTGATAACGTAGCGCTGCGAGCAGAAGCATTTACGATCCTTACGAGCAATATCAGTGTTCGTTAAAATTACGACAGAGAAGATTTCGCTGCAAGCGTCGGTCGTTCGATCTTTCGCGATCGTTCGTTGGTTGCGAGCGTTTTTTGTGAAACTTAGGTCGGTGTTATGCAGAAATTCTGTTTGGCAAACTGCGTGAAATTGTTGTTGCAGCAAACTCGGAGAGAGAAGGCTCTGTTATGCATACTTGGCATTGCTTGAGAGTTGTCACATAAAGAATCTGTTAAATGAGCTTCGCGTGTAAGCGGTTACCCAACGCACAGCATTACATACGTAAAAGTCTGTTGGTTTTTGATTTCTACGTAAAAATGGTATTGCAGTGCATGCAATGCCAAGTATGCATAACAGAGCCTAGAGAGTTTGGTGACTCTCACAGCAAACTAAATTTGTTGGGCCAAACAGATGAAAAATAAGTGTTGCCATACACAAAAATTTGCTGGAAAATACAGTATTGCCATACCGATGTGGTAGATGTTGCAGTTATACACAAAAAATGTTTATTCCAGAAGAAAACGCGCTGAGTATATGTACTGCTAATTCGATATAAAGATATTTAATATCCGCGCGAATATAAAAGTGATTAAAGTGAGTATTTGTATTACAAAAACATTATTACTTATTTGTGTGTCGTTAGAAAATGACTAAGCAAAGAAATTTGTGAAAATCTAAAGTGGGTCAATTAATTTTTATAATTATAGAAATGTCTATCTCCTGGAGCCGAGCGTTAACGGAAGAATTAATAAATCTTCTACAGGCCCGAGAGTGTCTTTGGAACACAAAGCATTGCCATTATAGTGACAGGGATAAGCGAAATGCGGCAATAAATGAAATTCACGACGTTTTGGTGACGAAAGATCCCCTTGTGACCCCAAAAAACATTAGGCAAAAAATTCAAGGACTGCGCTCACAATTTCGGAGAGAAGTGAGGGCAATTGAAGCAAGTAAACGGAGTGGATGCGGTGCAGCAGATGTGAAAACACCCAAAATGTGGTGTTACGAGCTGCTCCAGTTTCTACGTCCAAACGTAGAAATAAGGGAGACGCAGGATAGTTTAAACGATGAAAACAGGCCACAAACGATAAGATTTTGTGACATAAAGTTTTCTAAGAGTAATTTGTAATTTTTCCAATAGAGATACGATACGGACAATAATATAAACACGGATAACGCCTCGTTGAGGGACGAACCGTCGGTAAGTTATATTTTCACAATTCGTAGCCGAAATGCTGAAAAACGTTGAATTCATTAAAATAAATTAAAAACGCTCAACCATATTTATTTAAAAATTCAGGCATTATATTTAATTTGCATAACTTTTATTGTTTTTCTAACCACTCTAGCATTCCTTCATTATTAAAATATTCAAGAAAAGAATTTCTTATTGCTTCAGGTGAGAGATTTCTTTCATATGATATTGCATTAGAATGCATTGTATCCATAAATGGTTCACTCGAAGAACTTATCCTATTACTTAAAATAAAGTTGTGAAGTACACAACACGCCTGTATAATGGTCTCAATAGTTCTTACGTTTTGTAAGTTTATTGGTTTCTTCAGTATAAGGAATCTTTGAGAGAGTATGCCGAAAGCTCTTTCACTTGTTTGACGTGCCCTGGACAATCTTTTATTGAAAATAATTTTTTCACGCACACTTGTGAGGTGTGAGTAAGGTTTCATCAGGTGTCTTTGTAGTGCAAAAGCATTATCGGCAACCACGACATAAGGCAACAATCTTTGGTTCCCTATAACTTTGTCTGGTGGAAAGTATGTACCCCCATTATTCAACACTCGCTGTAAAGACGAATGGCTTAGGATAGCTCCATCATGAGTTCTACCATTTGCGCCCACGTTTATATAAATAAATTTGCAATTTGCATCCACCAGTGCTAGCAGTACAATGCTATCAGTTCCTTTGTAATTGTGATAGTAAGAGCCATCTGATTGAGAAGCGTAGAAGCTTACATGCTTTCCATCTAAAGCTCCTAAACAAAGAGGAAACTGCCATTTCCGCTCAAACTGATCCGCAATTGATTTCCATTCATTTGGAGACTCCGGGAACTAAAAATAATAAGAATTATTTTATTTTCAGGTTTCATCATCTTGCAGAAAACGAAATAAGGCTCATTTACAACAAAAGGTGCAACAGGGATTGAAAGAGTTGACAAATATAATGGTGACAAACACAAAAAGGAAATATGAGTGGGTTGGCGAGGAGGTGGTCAGCATACTGGATGGTATGAAAAGTGAGGACGTTGCTCTGGAAACCATTGATGCCATCCATTCCCTGCTATCTTCCGCCAGAAAAAAAGACAAGGAAGTAACAAACTCCGTGACAACTCGTGATATTTTAAGTTTAGCTTTAGATGGTGTTTTAGATGATAGCGATTTGGAATAGATTTTAAGTTAATGTAAGTTTTTAATGAATTTTACGGTTGTGGTAGGTGATAAGTTTTAATGAATTTTTTTTATTTTTACTTAATATCGTCACCTATGTCGGCAGCCAATTCGAAAACGCCCTATCTCAGAAATCTATTCAAGAACGCCCCACTTCAGAATTTGACTGAAGAACGCCCTATTTCAGAATTTTATTGAAAAACACCCTATCTCAGAATTCGGCTCAAAAACACCCTATCTCAGCTGGAAATACATGAAAATGTACTGAGATAGGGTGTTTTTGAATCGCCAGCTGAGATAGGGTGTTTTTTTTAATAAAATTCTGAAATAAGGCGTTCTTCAATCAAATTCTGAAGTAGGGCGTTCTTCAAAAATTTTCTCAGATAGGGCGTTTTCGAATTGCCTGCCGAGATAGGTCGATCTTCCACTTAGGTGACGATATATTTATGTATATCAAATGTGATTTAGTGTTTAAAACGAAAAAATTTATTTAAGTTAATATTGAATTGGTTTTTTTTAATTTCAGTACCTGTTGTATTTTTACGTTTTAATAAATATTTATTGAATTGACTTTAATATTTAATTTACTTAATTTCATTAAAACATATAAGGTAAAGATGGTTAAGGGTCTATGTCACTTGTTTTTATATTTGGTGTTCACTCCTTAACCTCACTCCTTAACTTTGACTTCAAGAAAACTTAACACTTCACATTTTTTTTTAATTACCTTTAAATATAAGCGACTTAAACGTTTCCAAATTGCTCTGCACACTTTTGGGATGCAATAAACCAAGAATGAATGGGACAGTCTCGTTTGAAATGCTAAACTGCGATAAGTTTCGCCGGTTGCTAAATACCGAAGCGTAACCGCTAACTGTTCCTCTGGCGAAATGGCGTTTCTAGCATTTGTTACACATTTTTCTATGTCGCACCTAATCAAATTTAAAATTTGGTCGAATTGTCCATCTGATATCCTGACATAGTTCTTAAATGACCACAAATCTTCATTTTTAAGATGTCTATGAAGAAATGCATACGATCCTTCAGAATCTCTAGTTTGACGCCATATAACTGCGCGGCAAGATCTGGGGCGTCTAATATTTCCGAGCATCAGCAAAGATTCAATGAGTCTTATTCCACACCTTATAACATTTCTTTGATTTTCTGTCCAGAATATAACACTATTTGCATATTGTTTTAACATACATATAATACCGTATACTTCGTTATCCATTTTTAACGCTTTTTTATGTTTCCTACGTGCATATCTACACAATTTCTGTCGAACGTTGCCAGTAAAACCAAAAGCATTATTAATATGCAACCCTGCAGCAAACTACCGAAGGTTGCCAATCAAAACAAAGCCATTAAGAAAATGCAACCCTGTGGCAAACTCGACGTAACCACCTCACACCAAACAGAGGCAGCCGCCATATTGTTTGCCAATCAAAAGTCCGTCTACATAACACCGACCTTAATCAGTTACTCGTATTGCGAAGATTGAATTTTTGAACGATCGCGAGCGTTCGTCTGGAGGGGAAATTATTTATGTATGTATGGAAGTTTGTATGTTTGTAGAATAACCACTTTGTGTGAAAAAATTGCCTGTATGTACATATCGTCGCCTGAAATGCAAAAAGACGTAACAAACATCATCATTGAAATGGAAAATGTCATAACTAATAAAAAATTCAAAATTCACTTTTTGATTTATATGATGAATTCGAATTACAACTCCCCACATCATTTTATGAAAAAAAATTAAATATTAGTCACGACTTTTTCCATTTAATTTACGATGTTGTTACCTCTTTTTGCATTTCAGGTGACGATATGTACATATGTATCTAACATTTCATACTTTAAGAACGTTTATTTAGGGAAATCCGTAACATTGTCTAATATTTACTGCGCTGAAAAAAATCATTATATTCTATTGTTTTGCTAGTATACTAGACTGAAGTTCATTTCTTGAAGGAAACTTAGGTATAAAATTTTTTACAATACCCACTTTGTAGAAGACTAACCACTTTGTGTGAAAAAGGCCTACATTCTATTTGCTAGCAATTCAATACCTGCTACTGTTTTGGCGAGTGTACATACATGCGAAACAGGCAGAAATGAAGTTTTTCGTTTATCGTAGAGTTTTTTACACGTATGTACATTAACACTTGTGCATCTAAGGTCTGTACATCGCTGCATTTATGAACTTGTACCCTAATGCCCAGAAACTTAATACATTGCTGCACTCTGCCTGCTTATGGAAATTTATATGTATCTCCCGCTTATGTACAACGGAAGATTCATACATATGCTTCTGCCCGTAAACTCTCACGCGTTTAGCCCAAGAAACCCGCACATTAGACAGTGTATAAATATATACGCATATATGGATATGTATGCATATATACCATGCAAACCAAAGTTCCCGAAATCTTAAGGAAATCGTTAGGAGTATCTCATTTCTGTAACGCTTTTTTAACGAATTTTCAAAGAAAATTATATGAAGGGGTTGACACGAACTCGTAAAGAAATTTTTGTACGAAAAATAAAGAAAATTCTGAAAGATATTCTTCACATAGCAGCATTCATTTCGTTGCTTCACAGATTTCCTTCCGAAATTTCGTAAAAGAATGGAAGTGTGCGTAATTTATTGCATTTTAGAAAATTCAGCAAAAAATCGAATTAAATCTTTTTCAGAATATTCTGCATTGTAAAGAAATTTTAAAGAATTCGTTAATATACGGTTAATCCAAAAAGTTGAATCTTGGGTCGAAGTATATACCAGAAAGGAATGCAACATTGTCGAGTAATTTTTCTTTCCTTCTTCTCATAGATTCCAACAACTTTATTGCAAACGCATTTTCACCAATATTTTTTGATTTTAATTGTAAACTAAATTGATTTTCATAGGGTCCAATTATTTGCTTGAAATGAAGCTCGTCATCGAAAAGCCGAAAGGGAATGTTTTTCACGGTTACCAATCCAACACAACACTTTAAAAAATCTTTTTTATTTAATTTTAGACCAAATTGGTTAGAACTTCGGCGTTTGGAAGCATTATTGTCGCTTGTAGATGGAACGCTTTCATTAAAGTTATATTTCTGTAGTTTCGTAATGTCTTTTAATGTTTCCTAATATGTAGCCTTTAAGTTATCTTTCGCACAAAAGGCACTTCGAAAAATCTGTGTCTTTATTATATGTAACAAGTTTTGTCTTGTCAATATTCGATACTTTGCCCATTTTTATATCAAAAAAGCGAGTAGACTGCCTTCGTTCGTATCAAAATATACTAAATTCAAATATTTGTTTACCCACACTTTACCAACGAACGATCGCGAACGATTAAAAATACGATCTTCTCATATTAGCTCGTTTTGCGATTGTATTTTACCGCGATAAATACTTGAGCAAACGATTGTTAGCGAGAGCATTGCCTATGTTTTCATTGGCGAGAGAGTGCGCGCTACGATTTTCTGCACCAGCGCTCTTGCCACGGACGATCGCTTTCGTACGCTCGTTCGTTTGCAATGTGTATACATAAACTCTTTGCATACGATCTCTTACGAACGAAAACGCAGGCAATATTTACTCGAACGCTCGTTTGCTCAAGTATTTATCGCTGTAAAATACAATCGCAAAATAAGCTAATATGAGAAGATCGTATTTTTGAACGTTCGCGTGCGAATTTTTCCGCGCCCTGATTATTACCTCCCTTTTATTACCACGGGATGTAACTATGTAATATTGATGCGCCTAAAAGATGCAGCAATTTTTATTCTCAAGTTACATATCTGATGACAGTACGAATGGAAATTATAATAGCGAGGTTTCAGTTTTTTAAATTTTAATTTTATTTGTTATTGTTATTTCCGAGAGATCGCAAAATACACTGCAGCTGGCACAACGCCGAAACTGGTTTGTCTCCAAACCAAATTTGACAAGGGATGACGGAAATTCGTTCTAAAATACGTCTCTTAAAAACATAAGTGTTTCTCTAAAACCTAAGTAAATGAATATCATAAAAGTTACAATGTGTACGCAAAGTATACGCAACTATCTTTAAAAAAAATTGCGAGTTACATTAACACCCCTATTCTGCAACTCTTTCGTATTCGGACTTTGCTACGAATGGTAGAAATAGTATGCTGCAATCCGAATCGTATTTTCGAACTTTCGCGTCAAGCGCCAAACAACTGTCAAAAATCCTCATGCCCATACAATTTGTATGAAGCATCCCACAATAACGCGGCGCTAACGCCGAGCAAATGGAATTTTCATTTTTTACAGGGCGTTACGTGTTGAAGTTGGATGCGGAAGACGGAAAGAAAGAGAAAGGACAAAAAAGTGAAAGAGGAAACGAGAATAAAAACGAGAGGATCTGAGAAAACGTCAAAAATTACGACGCGTTGATTTGGGGATAGCGCGCGCTGACACTCGTCGACAATGGATAACGCAACGCTTAGCGCTCCAATTTAGGGACGGCAGTTACGCGTTTTTTCAGAATGACGATACGCGGTTTGGTTCTTTAAACGACGATATGATTTTAAAACCGATTTGTATCTTTTGCTACGTTTTTTTTTTATTTTTTGTTACGTTTGTTCTTGTCTTTTGCTACGCAATCGGTTTCGGAAGATACCAACCCTGGCCAGAAACTTCTTATTTCAGAAAACGGCAATTCCCAATAAACACTAAAAAAATATTTCTCCAACCTTGGAGAATTTCATAGTTCTCAAGTTGATATCCAACATCATTCTCCAACTCATCTCTAACCGACGCGCAGATACGTAAAAAGTGATAGAGAAACGAATATTTAAATATCAATTGAAAAACTAGAGCTATATAAAGAGGAAAATTACCAACAAAAAGTAAATAATGGGCACGTTCAGAAGGCGCAACAGCTCAGTAACTGGTGCGATTGCACCTTCTG